TCTTTTTTTTTTTTTTTTTTGGCTGCCCATGATAAGCCTCATATGTAAGTTCCTTTGCTTATTAAACCTGCCACCTACCAATCTGGAGTGGCCTGCCTCTTTCTTTGGCCTCTCCCCACCCTCCGCTCACTGGGACCAGATTCAGATTTCACCCACAAACTCCCTAGGTTTCAAACCAACAAGGAGTTGGTTGAGCCAACAAGGAGATGGAAAAGACGCATCCAGGGGAGAAAGAGGCATCCACAGGGGTCTTAGGAGAGAGGTATCCATGGTGGGCCCTGCCCATAATGCCTTCAACAGCCCAGTATGGCTGGTAAAAAAGCCAGATGGCTCATGGTGGATGATGGTGGACTACTGAGAATTAAACAAAGTAATGCGCCTCTGCCCCAAATTCTGCTGTACCCACCTTTGCTACCACCCTGGATACCTTGTTCATGGTCCTAGAAGTGTTCCATGCTGTCCTAGACTTAGCAAATTCTTTTTCAGTACATCCCTGGCTGTTGAGTCACAAGATTAATTTGCCCTCACATGGGAGGGGCAACAATGGACCTTTCAAGTGTTTCCCCAAGGCTACATGCACAGCCAACGGTATGTCATCTGATGGTAACAGACCTGTCTCTATTCCTTCCCCACCTCAGTGAAATGGGCTCATTACATTAATAATATAACCTTAACATGTGAAGATTTGCCTCTCCTACAGGGTACCTTGCAGATTTTGTTGGAGCATCTTCAAGGGACAGGATAGGAACTGAGCCAACAGAAAATTCAAGGCACAGGCACCACCATAAAGTTTTTGGGAATCATTTTGTTGGGTAAGATGTGAATTGTCCTAGAAGCTATGATGAGATGAAACTTATCCAACTGCTAGGAACATAAAAGAGATACAAACCTTGTAGGGATTTTGAGAATTTGGAGGACTTCTGTTCATCCACCTGGCACAGTGCCTCTGTCCCTTATACCACCTGGTAAAGAAAGAGAACATGTGGGACTGGGGATCAGAACAGCAAGCTGCCTTTGCTAAGACAAAAAATACTAGAGAAGTTGATTAAAGCTCTGACCAGGGCTACCATTTGAATTAGACATATCCATGACTCTGGAAGGTATGGGTTGGGCACTGTGGCAGAGACAACAGAAGGAGAGAGTGCTTCTAGGATTTTGATCCTAGGTCTGGAAGGGATCAGAAAGCTGATCTACCCCCTAGAGCAACAGCTCCTAACAGTGTACACAGTGCTCCTCTCATGAAGGAACAATATATTATGGTAACAACTTCCCTTCCTATCAGGGTGGGTTGAGAATATGTTCCACCTCTACCATGGCTCAAACCCCCCGCTGACTAAGTGGCAAACCTATTTGCAGTAGAGGAGCATCCTGTCCTCAGCCGCTGTCTCTAAAAATGTGAGTACTACTAGGTCCTGTAGAATATGTAGATTCTCTAAATGCCCCCACCCCATTCCTATGCCAGCCCCTGCAGCCTGTAGAGAGGCCCAGTATATACCGACGCCCGGCATACAGATGCCTGGAAACAGGAAAAAACACAGTGCACTAAACAGAGTGGTTTGCTTGGCGATCACTCATGAACCCTAGTTGTTAATCCTTTGCACTGGCAGTTGGGCTGTTCTAAAGAGATTAACCCCATGACTTGAACAATGGAAAGCCAAGGAATAGGTGGTCATGCATAAACCCTTTTGGGGTCAAGATATATGGAAAGGCATTTGCAGTTCCCCTGCAAGAGTCTGGGGGAGCCCTTGCTGTCTTCCACAGCTGGGAACATAAGGCACTACCACCCTGTGGTAATCAGGAAGCTGAGGCCCTAGCTCGGGCACAAGCCCTAACAATGAGCCCTTGAGTATATAAAATAGATTGGATGCATAGAAAGAACAGCCATCATAGCACCTGGCTGGGATGAATATTGCCAAGGATACCCGATTGCCCTTGGAGTACATTGACAGCTTGTGCTGTGGGATCTAAACGATGCTGAAGGCAACTGCCAAAGAAGTCTGGGACCATCGGCCGAGTTCCCAACCCGTGAAGGAGGCAAATCAATAATATTGGTCTGTGCCCTTTGAGTGAGGGTTCTAAATATGCCTTGGTTTATATGGACACTGAGTCTGGCCTAACCCAAGCTTTTCCCTGTTGTTGCATAAACTGTGCTGTCCCCATTAGGGGATTAGAGAAGCTGTGTCCAGATTGGGATGGGTTCATGTGACTCACCCTGGGTTATAGACATTCGAGCACCAAGGAACTCTTATGCTGGGAACAGAAAAATCACGCTAAACAGAACAACCCCAACACACCAGGGATAAGGGATATATATCACAGAAACTATATAGTCATTCTGTCATATCAAAGAATAGAGGCTGGTTTGGCACTGACTGGTATGGCCTCTCAGGTATTTATTGGGTAGCCCCGAATGGGACCCAGTGATTATGTGGCACAAACCTTTGGCCATGGCTTCCATCTGAATGGTTGGGCCACTACACTCTGGGATTTCCCTGGACACAGGCAAGAATCCACCCCACAGTAACAAAAATAGCCCACTTTCCTCTCAAGGCACATTTTGTTTTCCATTGGAGCAGTCACTTGGCCACCGCCTTTGTCCCCTCGATAGATCTGCAAGACGTTGTAGGACACATAGAAGGCCCTCTTAAATTCTCCCAGCAAGCCTTCAATGATAACAGCAAAACTTGTTTTTACTGAACCCTGAAATGTCTCCAGGGAGAAAAGCTGGGCTCGCAAATAAGATGACCTGGAGCATCACTATTGCCTCAAGAGGAGGCCCTTGTGCCATTGTATGTTCATACCTGATGAGTCGGCTGATGTATCATCTTTATTACATCACATAAAACTACCAGAGAACACTCTGAGTGATCTGAACCCTAGCCCAGGGACTTAAATACGTGGTTTAAAGCATGGGGCTCTCGGTAAAAAAAAAAAAAAAATTGTTATGTATTTAAAAATCATTATCTTAATCTATGTTTTCTCTTGTATGTCTCTATATTGTTGCTGTGGTATCTGTCTCCCATGCAGCCAGCCAACCACCTGACTAGCCACCTCCCGGCTAATAAAACTTCTTGCTGAGCGCTCAGCACACGTTATAAAAGAGAGGGGCATAAAAGATTGTTAAGAGCCAGTCAGGAGAAAAAGAATGTCAGAGGGGGTCATCGAGAGGACTTGACCGCAGGTTGACCCATGAGCCACACCTAGGCAACCAGAGGCTCCTCATCCTCTCCTCTGTCCTTGAAATGTACATTCTGCCCACGGTTCCTACAGTCCGCACAGTGGGAGCCTTTTCAAGGATGCAGCTTCGAGAGAGCAATGCATTGTTGAGACGATCTGGAGGGATTATGTGATGAACCCTGGTGAGGCCTCTACATAAAACTTTTGAGATTCTGGTGCAGAGATCTACCTGTCCTGTGACGGCCCAAGACCGGCCTTGTATGTAAGTTCCCTGGCTTATTAAACCTGCAACCTACCAATCTGGCGTGGCTGCCTCTTTGGTCTCTCCTTGGCCTCCGTGTACGGAAGCCAGTTTCAGATTTCACTGGGAAGCCCCCAGGTTTGTGAACCAACGCTTTTATTCTGGCAGATAGATGGTTTTCATTTGTGTGTTCCATTATCTCAAAAATAACCTGAATCTCAGAGAATGTAAGTGGCTTGGCCAAGGTTAAATTAATAGCAGTGTCAGAATTGAGGCCTGAATTCTGATTTCCTCACTTTCAGTATCATGTTCTTTCCACTTTTTCTTCAGTGTTAAGGAGAATATTGAGTACAAACCTTCAGGGCTTTACACACTTAAAAAGGTGCATCCCAGAATGACCATTGATAGTGAGATCTTGGGTCAATCTGAAATATAATTTTGAAAAGGAAAGTCCTGGAGAAATTAGATTAACTTGCAAGGGACATGCCATCCTTCACTTGGGCTATATATACCAAATATATATATATATTTTTTAAAGATTGTCTTTATGTGTGCCAAACATTCCACACCACTGAGAGCTATTACACAGATTTCTAGTCTAATTGGTTTGTATGACAAGAGATTGTGATTTAACTTTCTCATATATTTGGAAGGGGAGCTTTTCCTTTTGTGAAACTCCTGCAAATCTCACAAAATCAGCCAAGCCTGGACATCCAGGAGCTTATTTCTTGAACTCCATGGTTCAATAAAGATGCACATCCTATTGTTGTTGTTGAGAGCCCGTTCCCCCCCCCCCCCCAATATATCTTGGACTGGTTGCAGTCTGACACAGATGAGCACTTAGCAGCTTGCCAAAAATGACACCCTTTGCATCTTTTATTTTATTTTTCTTCTGAAATCAGGCCACACGAAGGATCATTCAGCTAGAGTAAAAGCTCGTCAGCAGATTTCAGAGCTGCTTAGGAAACTGCCACCCCAGTGTGAAAGCTACCCCCAGAGTGAGCATCACAGCATGTGCTACCTAAGCAGCCTTCTCTCCTCCAGGTGGCATCAGGGCCCTGGGCTGTTGCATGCTCTCAAGTTCATTAGCAACCTGTCCAAGACCTTAGATTTAGGAACCGGGGCACCGCTTGGTTGGTCCATCTGTGAGTGAGTCAGAAGTATCAGCTCTGTGAATTGGAAGTGGCTTCTTGGCTCCCCAAGTCAGTAAGCAGAGCCTCCCGATGGTATGTGAGCATGCCCACACCAACTGCGGACTGCAGAGACCTAGGTTTTAAGTTCTTGCTAGAAGGCAGAGAAAGAGGAAGTTCCCGTAGTGCTTCCCCGCTGCCCCTCCCCTTGCTACATTTTTAACCATGCATTTACCCCCATTAAATCAGAATTGATGAAACCTATAGAAATGTAGTAATGTTTGAACATTGAAAAGCACATTGAAAAATAACAATATTCTTGACTATACAAGGCAATTTCTTCAAATCGAGTGATGATGTGATGTGTGTTGTTAACCGTATCTACGCAGGAAGTGGTTTTATTTTAAAGTTTTTGTACTCACCCCCACCCCCTGCCTTTTTTTTTTTTCCCTCCAGTACTGAAATTAAGCAGCATCCAACATAGGCCTACTCTTACGACATGTGACTCAACTTTACTGTTTTCCGTTTTGTTGAAAGAGTCATTAACAGTTGGAAGTTGATGGCAGTTTCAGTAACAAGTGATCACCGAGAAAAGGTAAGTGAATTTTAACTTCATATTGAACAGGAAATTCAAGCTTGAAAATGTTTGGCCGTGTCCTACGCTTCTGTGTGAACATACAAATATTTCTACAAAAACATGTTTTCACCTGTGGTTAAAACATCTGTTTGTTTCTTTTGGTGGAGAAAGACTATTCTTTTCATATTTGCAACTGTCAAATTCAAAAGTTCTTTAACAGAAATTACACTAGGATCATTTGCTAAGATTTTATACTAAAATGTTAAAGACAGATTAAGGTATAGTTTTAGTTTGGACATACTTTTAAAAATAACTATTAGAGAAAATACGGGACTTTGCATCTTTAACTGATGGTTTTACAAAAATGTGTAGTATTCAGGATCCAGATAATGAAAGATTAAAACTTTGTAACAATTCTTTGTAACAACAAGAAATAACATCTGAATTGCAACGTGAAAGATTTCCACTATAAAGTGTTGTATTAAGTTAGCATTAGAAATCCTTAAAAAGGTGTAGTTTATTAAATGTGTAGTTTATTAAAGAGCTATTAAAAAGCAGGACAGTTTTAAAATGCAAAAGAAAGCTCTCTATTATGACGCTTGAGTATTTTAATTTTTTTCCTAAATTGTATTTAAGAAGGGTTAGTTTCTATTTCATAAGCAAAACTCTGTTAAAAAAGGAAGACATAGCTGCCTTTATCGAAGGTTACTTTTGGGAGAAGGGGCAAATTAGAGATATATTTTTGGTATTTATATAATTATATAATTTTCCTTCTTTGAGATTTCCAAAATAATAACCTTAGAAATGAAAGAGATTTGTTAACCATCAAGTGATGAGAACTTTTCTTTTATATTGACTTCTTGCTTTTACAAAATGTCTTTGTGTTCTGTAACAAATGTACAAAAAAATATAAAGTACTGTTAATCTCAGAGACAAATACCTAAAATAAATCCGAGTGTAGATTTTTGAAAGAATTTTAATAAGAGCTCCAGATATGATCCGCTCTTCCCTAATATTATTTTTATTGTGCTGTTGAACGGGGGAAGTGATGGCCCCATAACACCGATTTTTTTGTGTTATTAAAAAATGGTTACAGGGTTGATAAGTGGCAACAATTCTTTTCTTTTATTATCTTTTATTGAAAGACACATATAAATGTTTTTTGATATGGTCAATTTAGTAGGAAATTATTCGGCATACTAGTACACTCTATTTTAAGACCTCTTCAGTAGTCAATACTGAGGCTAGCTACTTGTTGACTATTAAAATGATCACACACAAAAAAGAGATTAGGACCTGATGTTCAATACATGTTTTATTGTTGGGCTGTGGGGAGGCCCTGGTAATATGCATTTGCTTTGATATTCTGATTAGCTTTTCAATTGGTTACATTTCCACACAATGGAAAGCATTATTTAAATCTGTCTTCAATATTGTGGTTCTGAACCTCTGCATCTACAGAAGCTATATCATTCAGATAGTTTGGGTTGATATGTTATTACTTTATTTCATTTCATTATAAAAGAAGATCACATGAATAAACATATGTAGTACTTACACATTAGCAAGAGTGACTATCCACATAAGCATTTGGCACTGAAAAAAGGTCCACAGTAGTTTTTTAAACCATTTCATATTTTTAAAAGCCAAATTCCTTGTTAAATGACTGTTTCTTGCAGAAACTGTCAAATTAAAATATAAATACCTTATGAGGTGTATCTAAAACTAAGAATGAATTACGTAGCTTGGTGTGGATTTATAAAGAGCAACAATTAGAGATGATAGACATAAAAACCAAGACACTCTCAGAATTGTTTGTAAAAACAAGTAATGCATTATCTCTTGAATACACAGACCAAATCTTAAAGAGAGTCAAGACAAATGACATACTATCGGTTACTATACCTTTATACATTTTAAGTGAATAAATAAGAAACAAATTTTGGTGAAATGAAACAATGCAGAGAATCTCATTTGGAAAGTAATTTCAAAGCTGATTTATTAAAAGTATATCATGCTTTTCCACTTGGGGCCAGCATTCAGCAAAATTCGGAAAGGAGACTTTTTTTTTCTTTGATATTCCTCCCTTATTCTTTTTGAATGCTTTGTTTTGGAGTGGCCTGCTTTGTCCCTAACTTAGGGTCTCGCAGCCTTGGTACCTAGAAGGACAGACCCCACTTGGGTCCTTCCATCCCACTCCCACTGTCCTTAAAACTTGCTCATTTATTTCCCGGAACTTAGAGCATCTGATAAAAATAATCCATGTTCACAGGAGAAGGCTGCAGAGCTTTATTTCTTTTTACTTCTTAACCAGGCCTCCCCTCCCTGGTATAATTTTAATAAGGTCTCTCAGCAGACAGATCCAAAGGAACAGCTACATGTTGAGGACTTCGGTCAAGTGTAGAGAATGATACCATGGCAAATAGTGGGGGGGGGGGATATTTGGGGGCAGGAAGAGTGTTTCATTAACCATTGGTCCTGATATGGTATTTAAACACAGAGTGTCTTATACGAAGGGTCCATAGAGATGTGTCCATTTCTCTAAGATATTCCTGTATAAATATACACCATTCTTGTAGTGGATGAAAATTAATTGCACTATGCCTTAACACTATTTTAATATTCCCATACACTTAGAAAATATTTAACATAATCCATTGTTTAATATATATGCATTTTTAAAATAATTTAATATTCTTTTTTTTATTAAGATTTTATTCATTTATTTGAGAGAGAATGAGAGAGAGCACATGAGAGGGGGCAGGGTCAGAGGGAGAAGCAGACTCCCTGCCGAGCAGGGAGCCCGATGCGGGACTCGATCCAGGGACTCCAGGATCGTGACCTGAGCCGAAGGCAGTCGCTTAACCAACTGAGCCACCCAGGTGCCCAATAATTTAATATTCTGAATTTAAATCTTTGGGTACCAGAAGCATATATATACATTTTTTGCATTGCATAATACATGTTATGGAGTTAGACTTTAAAATATACTTATAAGTATTCTAAATTTCAGTTTAGAGTTGGCAAAATGCCTTTGTTTTCAAATGATAGAAAATGAGTTGAAATTAGTTTAGGCAATAAAGACAGGCATTAATTTGCATAACTGAAAAACCCAAGGAGAGCAAAGTCAGGCATAGTAGAATCCAGGAGCTCACACAGGATTAAGATTGGGTTATATTTTCTTCATTACCTAGCTCTTTTTTTTTTCACTGTGCTATCAGCCCTCTCTGACAGAAGCTAGCGGAGTTGACGAGAAAGCTTCAGGTTTACATTTCACCTTTTCAGAGTCTGTTGCAGAAGGTTGGCTTTCCCCTATCACCACAGTAAAGGGCTCAGACTGAGGTCTGATTGGACCAAATTTTGTCACCTGACCATGGTAGAGCTAATCATTAACTCTAAGACACAAACACCATGAGTGACTGAATGGATGGGGTCCTAGGCCTTCTCTTGCATGGAGGAACCGCCCAAGCCTGCAACACATGTACTCTTAGCTGAACAGAGGTGTCTCCACATAGAAACGAAAATGCTTTCCCCAGAGGAAATGTGGCTTTATTTCTTATGGGTAAAAGCCACATAACTCTACTATACAGCCACATATGGTCACATTTAAAAAGTGCTTATTCAAATTATAAAATAAAAATTTCTCCAAACTTTATAATCAGACAGAAATACAGTATCAGTTTAAAGGTAGGTCTGAATGAACCAAACGTTTCAATTAAACTGAATTTTTAAGTATTTTTCAAGAGCTACCTCATATATGAACACCTGTCTCAATATTTTTCTTCTGGAAGTTTATAATCTAGTATGATTGTTATATTAATATTTATAATACAAGTAAAATTTGTCCAGTACCATACGAGGATTCAGAAATTCGTGAAACATTTTGTATTCCTAAGTGCCAGGCAATAAATTAGAGAATTTCCGGGTGTTACATCATTTGATTATATCCTATCAGAGAGATCAGGACAGTTTGCGAGGAAAGATTTGTAGTAGTTTTCAGAGAGAGCTAGGATTTGGGATTTGAGAAATATTCCAGAGAACAGAAAGGAGATATGTCCAGGCAAAAATGTCAGAGAATTTCCAAGGAAGAATGAGTTGTCTAGTTTTGTTAGCTACAAGTATAGTAGTAGGAGGTAAGGCCAGAAAGACTGTTTGAGATCCTAGTAGAGTGGACCTGCCTAGCAGATTATGATGAAGGGTTATAAGTAACAACAGTACTGCTTAGCAGGGGAAATACATAATAGGATGTCCACATTTTGCTTCTGGATGGGCTATCCAGCATTGGGATTTATTTGTTTCTTCCGTATATCTCCCTGTCGGTGGCATACTCTTCAGGGCAGTTTGCAGAAATGGTTGCAGTCAGTGAAGGTTGATATTCCTGTAACATCAAGTGCTGGCTCCCCTCCCCAGGTGCCTTGAGGTCCTTAGGCTGTGGTTATAATGATTTTTTTTTTTTTTTTACTTTATGGAAGTATTTTTGTTTTTTGTTTGGTTTGTTTGTTTTGAATTTAAGAACAGGTGATGCAGCAAGATGGTTCAAATCAAAACCTAAATATAAAAATTATAGAAAAAAATCTTTCTTACATTCCCATTTCTATATACCTCTATTCACACCTACCTTAACCCAACAGGCAACCACTTTTCATGGTTATTTTTTTTAAATCTTTTACAGTTGCAAATATGCATATATATAATGTATGTGCATAAACCCTCCTTTATTATATTAAAGGTAGCATATTATACACACCTCTCCACGTTGCTTTTTTTCTTTTAGTAATATCTTAGAGATATTTCCACAGTAAAAATAGGAAAGTGTTCAATTCTCTCTCTCTCAGTATTCTCTCAGTATTTCACTAGGTGGATATATCACAATTAAAAGAGTCATGGGTGTCTTCAATTTTTGCTAATGCAATGAATGTGTTAATGAAATTGTGTGTGTTTTAAAATATATCTGTGGGATGAATTTTCAGGGATACTGTTTGTTTATAAGCCAAGAGACAAAATAATTTTGATAGTTA